GCTCTAAATAATTAAAATTTTTGATTGATATAATTCGTTCAAGGGACAGTAATAACACGTTCATACACCATAACTGCTTTATTTAAATTAGCTTATATAAAMGTCRAAAAATCTTAACAGTTATAAGTGCATTGACAAGTATCAACCAACAAGCATCGTCCTTCGGCAAAAGACCCATGTCTAATCTTGCACGTCTGAACACAGTCTGGTTCAGAACAATTATTAGTCTCCCATGTCTCAACGCATGCTTCACCAMCYATCATCTCAGTCCCTGAATAAGATACACGTACAATTCATCTATTAATAAATCTATCAAAAAGCACAAACAAACAAATCTGCCACCTAATACTAYGATCTTATCAACAWKTTTTTCTCATTTCTTAAGACTAAAAGTTTCTGTTTGTGATTGCTCATTTCATATTGGTAGAAGATACAAGCATAGGTGTATATTTAAGAAAAATTCAGTATAAAKAATACCAGCAATTGTGAATATRAACAGAAGAGCAATATATAGCTTGATGGACGCCATGATTTGTGATTTGTGTTAATTGATTATAGAACTATGGACCTATATATGGTATATCTATCAAATGCTTCAACACAGTTAATTTATATGRGAATTGAGGTGAGCAGATGATATTAATATTCTTAATTGACCAATGTTATGAATGTAACTTATATTACGATAAATGGAAACTCATGGGGGCTTTTAATTTGTAAACCTACATTAAAGTGTTAGTCATTTGTAACTCCCATATTAATACTGGTTTACATAACAAAATCAGTGTTTTGACACGTAATCAACAAATGTTGATTTCTAATGCCAAGTTAACATTTGCCGAAGACATGTAAGATTGGAAGTTTATATTAGATGATTTAGGGTCGTTTACCAAAAAATTACCGGTAAGTGTTTACTAGTAAAATTTAACATTATCACTTACTTATCTGATAAGATTTTAGTTCAAAAAAATGACATCATATGCAATAATTTAACCGATAAGAGCTAACCATGGTAAGAGTCGTCACCTTCAGTTACCGGGTAAGACTTGATCATTACCTTCACTCTTATAGGGTAAGATTCGTTGTCCTTGCCATATTCATCCGGTAAGGTAAGTGACTCAAGGTAAGCGTTCGGTAAACGRCYCCTTAGTCTCAGAAGTTTTATAACTTTGTTATATTAATTGACAMTTTTGAGTCATCGTTACCTAAAATAGGAATACAGGCAACGTTACCTTACGTGCAAGCCTAGCGACACAGTCTTTGAAGAAGTTAAAGAAAGTGATACAATGAAAATCCGACTATGTTGATATGTGMTGTCTAAGGTGGTGGAGTTGCATAATCTGATAGACAAGACGAAATTTAATCTTTTGTGGCAATTTATGATTTTATACTAAAAATCTGAACAAATCTATTACTTACAGAAAATTGAGTGAAAACACACACACGTACCAGCTCTTTTTGACATTGATACTGGGTAGGGGTGAGCATAGGCGGGTACCCGTCCTATTTGACAGGAACCGGAACCGGCGGTTCTTGTGATATTGGAACCGGAACCGGAACCGGAACCGATTAGAGCGGTTCTTGAATTTTTGGAACCGGAATCGGTTCCGGTTCTGGGTACCCGCTTCTTAAAATATTAAAATTTTGTTATTTAGAAATAAAAAATAAAATATTGCCAAAACACTAAATAAATAAACAAAAATACAAATTATACAGAATAATGGTTACAAATATTGTTTAAAGATTACAAACCACAATAGACTAATAGTAAATGTTGAAAGTTTAACGATTACATACTACGAATCCAATTAAACATACAATTTGAAAAAATATGAATCATTGAATCTCAAATTATGAATCTAGAGTTCTAAGTTCTTGACCTAAATTTAAATTTAGTATTAAATTTTTTTATTGAAAAATACCGGGTACCCGGTGGGTAACGGTTCCGAAAATTTGAGAACCGGAACCGGAACCATTCTCAATCGGTTCCGTATTTTAGGAACCGAAACCGGAACCACTCATATCGGTTCCGGAACCGGCAGTTCCGGTTCCACAAGTGGGTATCCGGTTCCGCTGCTCGTCCCTAATACTGAGTGTCCATTGAATGTATTAAATGATAACACCGTTAATCCAACTATCAGATGGTGAAAAGGGTATATGAATCTTGGCATTTGGACCAACAATGTAAAAAGTAAGATTTCATGACAAAATGCAAATCATTCAATAGTTTAGGGACTGTTTTTGTAATGTACTCTTGTCTCAAGGGTCTAAGTTGTCAAAAAGAAACTCGGCCGTTAAAATTGACGGACCACATAAAATCAAAGATCGAATAAATAATCAGAACTTCCGCGCAAATTCGAGCGAGTTTTGAAAAATCATTTTCCAAGAAGAAGCCGGTGGTGGTTGGTGGTATGCATCCGTGTTTCCGTCGTCGTAGACGGAGCTGTAATTCATCATCATACGGTGGCGGTGGTGTGGATTTCAGTAATGTCACGTACCATTCAACGGACACCAAGCGTCTCGGATTGATCAAAGCTCGTAACGAAGACAAACAGAGAAAAAGAGGGGAAGGTCAATGCTCGTAGATATATATTTTGACAACTGAAACGAGATCTTTATCCCTCATTTCTCCATCTTTTTCAGAAAWTTTTATCGAAGGTCGTTCCACATTGTAAGAAAATCCGTGTAATTTGTTGCAGTGAGGGAGACATCGTAACGTGATCGTTTTCGCTGCTCTGTTTTTGAAGCTCTTAAAGAGATTTCTTAACGAATGTTCGAGATCTCCGACGAAGTGCTTAACGTATAGGTAACGTTAAGGTTTCTTCGTCTTCAGTATCAATTAGGGTTATTTAATTTTATTCTTGAAGATCTTTTTGGTTGATTGTAAAAAAATATGTTTAAATATGCAAAAGAGAAAATACTACTTTTCTTTGTTGTCCTTGAATTATTTTGTTTATTCGATCATGTTATGTAATCATGCAGATTCCTATAGATGAGAGTGTGATGCATTCATTTGGGTSCCTTTTTTAGCTTCTTTCCCTATATGCCTACAATCTGTTTGTGATAATAGCTGAACCATTATATGCTGCAAGACTGCTGAATTTTTTATTATTATGCTACCTAAAATGGCAGAACTGCTTTTGCTATTTTGCACATTGGTGGAGATTGGGGGAACACAAACTTATTGGAGAAGAGGCTTTATATGAGCCTATACCGAACAAGTAAAGTATCCTGTATTTCATTATTGTTCATCATCTTGTGTTTTTTTTTTTCTTTTTTGCGATTTAGATGATGAACAAACAGATTTTAGCATATGGGGTTTGATTGATTTTTTGTCGTTTTAGTTCAGAAGTGAGGATTTGTTGAATATGCCATTCAGTTGTTTAGTTGGAGACAATACCAAAGAAGACGCCACCAACAAAGAATTAAGAAACAGAATTCAAATGAAAAACGGGGTTTCTCATGGGAGATCACATATCGTTCCTGAAAACTTTGATCCACGATCATCGCCGTCTTCAACCGAAGGTAGCAAATGGGATAATTTGCCGGTTGAGTTACTTCTTGATATAATCCAGCGTGTGGAGGCTAGTGAGACCTCATGGCCTGCTAGAAGAGACGTTGTTGCTTGTGCTACAGTTTGCAGGTCGTGGAGAGATACTGTAAAACAGCTCGTTAAAACTCCAGAGCAATGCGGATTGATCTCATTCCCCATGTCATTAAAGCAGGTAGTTGATCTTGATCCCAATCCCAAATGGATYGTGTTTGTGTTCAAATTCGAAAGATTTCTGTTTACTTATATTCTTGAATCTTGAACTTCTTCTAGCCTGGACCAAGAAACGAGCCAATTCAATGCTTTATAAGGCGGGATAGGGCTACTTCCACGTATCTGTTATATCTAGGCTTGAGCCCAGGTAAAAGAATGCYATGCTGTCTTGAATGCTCTACATTTTGATCTTCAATTCAGAAGTAAAGTTGGATGATCCATTGTTTTTCTTTCAAAAAGATGTAAATTGCCTCTAAATATGGATGTTTTTTATAATTACAGCACTAGCTGGGGATGCAAGTAAGTTGCTTTTGGCAGCGAAGAAAGTGAGAAAGGCCACGAGGACAGAGTTTTTGATATCTTTAACTGTTGACGGATTTTCTCGAGCTAGCAATACTTATGTTGGGAAGCTAAGGTTGTCTTTTGTTCTTTCATTTACAATGTTTGAATCCCACATCGGCTAGACATGGACTTGCTATTCTCAACAGATGTTGGAACTYCTTTCTTTCCTCGAGAGCTCTTTTGGAGAGTAATCTAATGGGGTGACATATTCTCACATGGTATCAGAGGGTCTATCACTCAGGAACTTGATACTCTTAGGCAATYTGTATCCATCTAGCCCCCTCTCGACACTGTGGGTCAATTTGTGTTAGAGCTCCCAAAATATGTCTGACATGTTCTTCTCAAAGATATTTTAGAAGCTCATAAAGGTCCATTTACGGGCCAGGGCCATAAAGGCCTATATGAGATCCTAACAACGTCATGACCTGCTCAATTATCTCTTAACCTAGCTATGTTAGGCTCTTTAACCATTGTTGTAGCTCACCATATGTATGCCATGCCCCCTTATCCATATCTAGCTACTGACTATATGTTGGAACCTCCACTTCTTCCCTTAAGAGCTCCAAATCATTTGRAGAGCAATCTGATGGGGTTCCACATATTTTCACATGGTATAAGAGCGGATGTCTATCATTCCATACTTGTCCAACTCCCTCATATTAAGAGTCCCATGACCTATTCCTTTGAATATGTTATGGAACCTCCCTTGTCTCCTCAAGTGCTCTTATATAGAGTAATCTAACATGGTTCCACATATTCTCATATTGTATCGGAGGCAAGATTTACCACTCTAGGGGCTCGACACTCTGAAGCGATATGTACTCATCTATCCGGGACAAATTGTGCCCGTTTAGCCTCCATTGCAAAGAGTGTGCTAGAGTCCCACATTCGCTAGACTTGGACCTATTTCTTCTTATCGTATGTTGCAACCTGCCTCTCCTCAGGAGCTAATCTAATGGGTTTCACATATTATCGCATACACTTCAGTTMTGGTGTTCATTTTCACACACATTTTATATAAATTGTGAACAGTTCAAATTTCCTCGGCACCAAGTTTTCAGTTTACGACGTTCAGCCTTCTTACGACTCTACAAACAAGGCGATACCTAAATGTGGTTCAAAGAAGGTATCACCTRTGGTTAAATCTAAAGTGTCCGTCATATCATACGAGCTTAACGTTCTGCGCACAAAAGGACCAAGAAGAATGCATTGCACCATGAACTCAATCCCCACCTCTGCAGTTGAAGAAGATGGCACAGCTCCTACTCCACCAACATTCGCAGATCAAACCGATCAGGATTTCTCAGATTCAACTCGAAAAACATAYGAGAAGGAGCCACTGGGATCATCAGCTTTTGAGAAAAGCAATCCATTGATTATGAGAAACAAGACACCCAGGTGGCACGAGCAGCTGCAGTGTTGGTGTCTAAACTTCAAAGGCCGTGTTACAGTGGCATCGGTTAAGAACTTCCAGTTGGCAGTCGATCCATCCCAAAATGGTCGATCTATAGAACAAGATGACGTGATACTACAATTTGGGAAAATCGGGAAAGATATCTTCACGATGGATTATCGATACCCGCTATCTGCATTTCAAGCATTTGCGATATGTTTAAGCAGCTTTGACACTAAACCGGCATGTGAATGACAACGTTATATATGTTTGATCGATTACGAGCTACATCGTGCTTTTTGGTTCATTAAGCTGGATGTAAATACTTTCTGTAAACAAGGCTCTTTCGAAAACATTTTTCAACTGAGTTGCAAGAATCATAAGCTCTTATGTTGTAATTCCCAAAAGGGCATTGGTCCTACTGAGCCTGGTGAGGACAATTGACGTTTGTGGTCTCTTTTCGGACCTACAACTCTTTTTCTAATCGCTTTGTGGCCGGGACCTACTCACATGTGGTCTTTACCAAGACCGGGTCTCAAACCATCTTTAATAGCTATGCTAAAATATCTTTAAAATACAGTATCAAAAATCAAAATCGTTAAAAAAATTATATTTGTACTCTAACAACTACTTATTTTAACAATTTTATCATTAACTATGTTATTAAAATATTTAATACATTTAATAAAATATTATTTTCTTACAACTAAATATTTATTGTTGATACCTCTTATTGGTGAAAAATATTAAATTAATAATTTCTCTCTCTATTTAGAGATTTTTACGATCTTCATCTCCTTTTTCTATTTTAGGATACAGTTTGCTAAAATCCCTCTTTTCTCTATATTTTACTAGTTGGAGATGCTCTTAGTTCAAGTTGAGACCGGCGAGCATAGTGTGGAAATAACGAACTGGTTTCGATTATAAATGATTTCTTAGACCATCTTCAATGAATCCACTGTTTTAAGAATAGAAGTTAAAGTAAGAAAACGTAAGAAGGAATCTGGACTTTGATCACTTTTATTCTTACCTCCATCTCATGAATTGCACTTGATACGGGAATTGATTTGGTACATCTCATTGCTATTGATTTTTAATTAAAGTTGATCCAAGGTTGGGGATCCCTTATCACCATAACTTTCATTCTTCTTTTAAACCCATAAATAGGGCTATAAACGAATCAAACGAACACGAACGGAGGTTTGTTCATGTTCGTTCGTTTAACTTAACCAAACAAACAAACGAACGAACACGAACAGTAAACAAACGAAAATCTTTGTGTTCGTGTTCGTTTATGTTCGTTCGTTAACATGCTAAACGAACGTAAACGAATGAACATAAATGAACGGGCAAAACGAACATAAATAAATATTATTTGAATTCAAAGTAAATAAACAAAAGATTATATATTAAATTTAGTATATAAACGAACATAAATGAACGAATATAAAAAAACATAAACGAACGGTAAACAAACAAACGTTCACGAACATAAATGAACGAACATGACTCTTGTTTATGTTCGTTCGTTTAACTAACCGAACGAAAAAATTTGTTCATATTTATTCATTTATTAAATAAACGAACATAAACAAACTTTCCGCCGAACGGTTCGCTGAACGTTAGGTTGGTTTAGAACCCTATCCATAAATGCTTATCGTTTAGACGAGTTCCTCTATGATCACATCATTATTTTTTACACTATTTGAATGTTTTGAATAGTAAAACGGGTTTTGATATTTACATAAAATAGCAATCTATTTTCATAAATTTATTTATTATAGTATTGTACTTTTAGTTTTTCTTATTACAACAATGTACTTTAAACTATTTTTTATTATGACATTGTACTTTAAAAAATTTACTCATTATAGCATTAGGTAACCTTTTGTTTTAAATTTACCCATTATACTAGGTTTTAATGTCACCTCATTGTCCACGTAGGCTATCCACATGTACTATAGTGATGTGACTTTCTTACTACATCATTATACTTTTAAAATTTATTTTATTATAGCATCTACTAATTCTTATTAAACACTGTATTTTTAATTTTAATATTTAGATATTTTACATGTTATTTAATAAATATATTAAATAAATTAAAAAAAATTAATTNTCGCTTTGTGGCCGGGACCTACTCACATGTGGTCTTTACCAAGACCGGGTCTCAAACCATCTTTAATAGCTATGCTAAAATATCTTTAAAATACAATATCAAAAATCAAAATCTTTAAAAAAATTATATTTCAACTCTAACAGCTCCTTATTTTAACAATTCTACCATTAATGATGTTATTAAAATATTTAATACATTTAATTAAATATTATTTTCTTACAACTAAATATTTATTATTGATACTTTTTTATTGGTGAAAAATATTAAAATAATAATTTCTCTTTCTATTTGGAGATTTGGAGCAAACAATTTGCTAAAATCCCACTTTCCTCTATATTTTATTATACTTCTTGGAGATGCTCTTAGTTCTCTAGTTGAGACCGGCCAGCATAGTGTGGAAATAGCGAACTGGTTTCGATTATAAATGATTTCTCAGACTATCTTCAATGAATCCATTGTTTTAAGAATAAAAGTTAAAGTAAGAAACGTAAAAAGTAAAAAGGAATATGGACTTTGATCACTTTTATTTTTACCTTCATCCCATGAATTGCATTTGATACGAGAATTTATCTGGTACATTTTATTATTGTTGATTTTTAATTATGATTGATTAAGTAAATGGTCATACTAAAGGGTAAAAATGTTTCATTTTTTTCTTTTCCCATTTGTTCAATAAAAAACATATGAATAAAATATAAATGATCAGATATGGTAAGATTAATATCAAATATCATATGTAATAATCAAAAGAGGAAGAAACAGTAAATTGAGTTTACATGAGAGATAACAGTCTCATAAGGTTATAATTCAAATAGATTAAATCTTATTCTTACATGACGAACATCTGCTTCCCGTATATTCTTGTTCATGAATCTTTATCTGTATTTGTAATTCGTGACTGGAAAATTTCTCCTCACTTTTCTATTGGAAAATCATTCGTCTGTTCGTCACTGGAAACACCACTTCCCGTCCGACTTATATTCCTTAATTTAATTGAATTTCGCTTGATTAAAGCAAAGTTTTTTTTTCTTTCAAAATGTATACATTTTTTTGTGCATATCCATTTTTGTTTGTGTATTATAATCATTTCATAACTGACAATTATAATCTTTTCAATTTAGTTTAGGATTACTAAAATCCTTCTCACCATCTTTCAAATTGACCTTGAGATTCTCACATGATCCTCTCTTTATATATATATATATATATATATATATATATAAAAGAAAGATTTAAACGAAAACGCTAATTATCAAAGAAAACAAGAAAAATGTCTTGAATATACAAAATCATACATGATCCAGACGACTTTGCCCTGCGACCTAAGTTGCACCAAAATTCGTCCGCTTCTATTTATTTGAAATTAATGTAAAATCACATGTGATTTTGTACATTAACGACATTTTTCTTGTTTTGTTAAATAGTTAACGTTTTCGTATGAACCTTCTCTCTCTCTCTCTCTCTATCTATATATATATATATATATATATTAAAAGGGTATTCGCGCAATGCAACAAGATCTATCTCGATTTTATTGTTTCGTTTTATTTTGTCTCTGTCGATGTTATAATACAATTTTATATACTTTTGAAAAAGTGATAATGTTTTTAATTTTAAATAATATATAAATTTAAAAAATTATTAATATTAGTATCAAATTAACTATTTGAATGTTCTTATTTTTTATGTAGTTCATTTAACTCAATCTCTTTATTATAATTTGATTTGGACTTAATAACAAAGTAATTTATTTTTTGTTTAATAATATAATTTTTTATAACGATGATAATTAAGTTTCCGTTAAAACTCAATAATTCTCCTAATAATATTTTAGATTTTTTATATTTAAAATAAGATGTTTATCTTGTATTTGATTATGTATATCTGCAATTAATTACACAAATTTGAAATAAAGTTTTAATAAGTTATACCTATGCACAATTACTTGTAATCTTCGATTTAAAGTAATAAGCATCAGTAACCAGTACTTCATGCATAAAAACTGGTTTTTAAAAGTCTTTGCCAAATACTTTATAATATAGTATAGATATATGGATTTTCAAATAGAAACCCTCTAATTATTAGATACTAGTTGCAGGACTTCAACATCCTCAGAGTTCAAAATGATTAGCATGGATACACAAGTCTAGGATCAAAACAACCAAATGTAATGTTATGTCCCACCTGTTTTTTTTTTAATAAAAAATTTGTGATTGCAATTATCACGGAACGGATTGAATACCAAAACCAAACGAACCCATTATATCCCACCTCATATGGGCTATGGGGAAGAAAAGATACATGCAAACTTGACCTCTACCCCAAGAATAAAACAGTTGTCAAACAAGCAAATGTAATATGGTGTCCACCTGGTTTTTTCTTATAACATTCTTGTGATCGCAGTTATCACGGAACGGGTTGAATACCAAACCAAACAAACCCATTATATCCCATCTGAGGTGGGGTCTGCGAAAGGAAAGATGTATGCAAACCTGTCTTCTACCAATAAGAATAAAGGGGCTGTTTCCAAACAAGCTATTTCATATGCACTTCCACAATTGAGTTCGTTTCATGAAAAACCATCAAATAGACCTAAAAGTTGAGATAAAGTTTACCCTGAAAAAGAAGAGGATGCAAAGCAAGAAGGTTTACAGCAAAGGATGTGGCCAACTTCCAGAAAATGCATATCTTCTGAGCCAGCCAAACTTGTATCTTCAATGCTGAAGTTGCCAACTTCTGTTACCAGAACCTATAAAAATGGATGAACATATTACCAAATCGAAGATGGAACGCCCATTTTTCTTTTACAAGATGCAGAGTCAGGGGGAATAACAGCTTTTATATATAAAGTCTGAATGCAAGTTATTGGTAGAGTGCTGATATTCAACTAAACAGAAGATGGAGCGAGTATCAATGATAGAGTTATCGGTAATGATCAAAAGGGTCTGGAAAACACACAAGTGGGAGAAGTTCTGATGACAAAAGAAGATAAAAAAGGTTGGATCTGAGCTCTGATTACAGAGGATAATACTGGCCATGCTAAACGTCAAACAGAAAACAAGAAAATGTACGACTCCGATCCATTCTTGATCATCTAATAAACCAGAAGTGATCATTTCAATTGTCGATTTCATTCTACAAGTGGTAGAGAAGTGTATAAACTGAACGGAGTCCCAGATGCGAATTTGTCCACCATTCTTCCATTGAATGATTGGAGAAANTTCATGAATCTTTATCTGTATTTGTAATTCGTGACTGAAAAACTTCTCACCACTTTTCTATTGAAAAATCACTCGTCCGTTCGTCACTAGAAACACCACTTTCCGTCCGACTTGCATTCCTTAATTTAATTGAATTTTGCTTGATTAAAGCAAAGTTTTTTTTTTCTTTCAAAATGTATTTTTTTTTTTGCATATCCATTTTTGTTTGTGTATTATAATCACTTTCATAACTGAAAATTATATATTTTTTTAATTTACTTTAGGATTATGTTATTTAAGGTATTAACTTAATAAGATATGTGGTCTAAAATCTTTCTCACCTTCTTGTAAATTGACTTCAGCAAGATTCTCATAAGATCCTTTTTTTTTCTCTCTCTCTCTCTCTCTCTCTCTCTATATATATATATATATATATATATGTATAAGAAGATATAAACGAAAACGTTAATTATCAAAGAATACAAAAAAAATGTCATTAATATACAAAATTATATATGATTCACGTACAAAATCATACATGATCCAGGCGACTTTGTCCTGCAACCTAAGTTGCGGCAAAAGTCGTTCACTTCTATTTATTTAATGTAAAATCATATGTGATTTTGTACATTAACGACATTTTTCTTATTTTTTTTAAATAGTTAACGTTCTTGTTTGAACCTTCTCTCTCTGTATATATATATTATATATATTAAAAGGATATTCACGCAATACAACAAGATCCATCTCGATTTTATTGTTTCGTTTTATTTTGTCTCTGTCGATGTTATAATACAGTTTTATATGGTTTTCGAAAAGTGATAATGTTTTTAATTTTAAATAAGATATAAATTTAAAAAATTATTGATATTAGTATCAAATTAACTATTTGAAAGTTTTCGTTTTTTTGTGTAGTTTATTTAACTCAATTTTTTTTATTATAATTTAATTTAAACTTAATAACAAAGTAACTTATTTTTGGTTTAATAATATATTTTTTTATAACGATAATAATTAAGTTTCCATTAAAACTCAATGGTTCTCCTAATTATATTTTAGATTTTTTATATTTAAAATATGTTTATCATGTATTTGATTATGTATATCTGCAGTTAATACACGAATTCAAAATAGAGCTTTAATAAGTTGTACCTATGCATAATTTACTTGTAATCTTCAATTTAAAGTAATAAGCATCAGTAAACAGTACTTCATGCATAAAAACTGGTTTTTAAAAGCTTTTGTCAAATATTTTATAATATAATATAGATTTATGGAGTTTGCATGGATACACAATGTTGTGTCCCACCTGTTTTTTTTAATAAAAAATTTGTGATTGCAATTATCACGGAACGGATTGAATACCAAAACCAAACGAACCCATTATATCCCACCTCATATGGGCTCTTGGAAAGAAAAGATATATGCAAACTTGACCTCTACCCTAAGAATAAAACAGTTGTCAAACAAGCAAATGTAATATGGTGTCCACCTGGTTTTTTCTTATAACATTCTTGTGATCGCGGTTATCACGGAACGGGTTGAATACCAAACCAAACAAACCCATTATATCCCACCAGAGGTGGGGTCTGCGAAAGGAAAGATGTATGCAAACATGTCTTCTACCAATAAGAATAAAGGGGCTGTTTCCAAACAAGCTATTTCATATGCACTTCCACAATTGAGTTCGTTTCATGAAAAACCATCAAATAGACCTAAAAGTTGAGATAAAGTTTACCCTGAAAAAGAAGAGGATGCAAAGCAAGAAGGTTTACAGCAAAGGATGTGGCCAACTTCCAGAAAATGCATATCTTCTGAGCCAGCCAAACTTGTATCTTCAATGCTGAAGTTGCCAACTTCTGTTACCAGAACCTATAAAAATGGATGAACATATTACCAAATCGAAGATGGAACGCCCATTTTTCTTTTACAAGATGCAGAGTCARGGGGAATAACAGCTTTTATATATAAAGTCTGAATGCAAGTTATTGGTAGAGTGCTGATATTCAACTAAACAGAAGATGGAGCGAGTATCAATGATAGAGTTATCGGTAATGATCAAAAGGGTCTGGAAAACACACAAGTGGGAGAAGTTCTGATGACAAAAGAAGATAAAAAAGGTTGGATCTGAGCTCTGATTACAGAGGATAATACTGGCCATGCTAAACGTCAAACAGAAAACAAGAAAATGTACGACTCCGATCCATTCTTGATCATCTAATAAACCAGAAGTGATCATTTCAATTGTCGATTTCATTCTACAAGTGGTAGAGAAGTGTATAAACTGAACGGAGTCCCAGATGCGAATYTGTCCACCATTCTTCCATTGAATGATTGGAGAAAYATTGAAAAGATGTCAATACTCTGAGAATGCACCAGCATAAACTCTTTGAGAGCAATTACCAAATTGGTGTAAATGAAATAACTTGAAATAAAGAAAATGACCAAAAAGGCAAAAGGAGYAGACAGGTGAACTCTAGTGTTGCTTGGTTTTTCTAAATGCTGTGTATCCCACCCAGAGGTGGGGTCTGAGCGTGGGATGTACGCAGACCCAGCCTCTACCCAAAAGAGTAGAGCGGTTGCTTCCCTAAAGACCCGCGGCTAGTGGTGTGCGAGAAAAAAGAACCAACAGAGAAGAACTTGAAAACAACAAAGATATAGCTAAACTTTGAAAAACGAGTTAGAAGTACGCAACAATATTGGAACATACAACCAGATAAAACATACAAATAGAGCACGGAAAAAAAGGGYACAAGGAGCTACACACCCTGGTCTAACCTAGGGCTAAAAAGGCCTATCTGCCTGCTAACTAACCCTACCCTCATCCTCTACCGTATCATCAATATATAGAAATGGTATCGTCAATCTCTATATATACTTCAACAGGCTTCAGGCTTGTAAACTCTAATTTTCATGCTTTCAAGTCGTAAGGAAGCTCCTGAATGTAATGGAACTACATATAAAGTGGTCCCTACTTRATGCTTGTTTCCAAACAGTCTTGGTTTCTCGAGCAAACRGGCAGACAAGGTTATATGAGACAGAACCTAACTGAACCAAGATAAAAGAGCCAACCCATGAAACCTACATGGTCAAAATATGGGCACAAATATTTAAGATTATATTAATAAACTAGAGCAGGCCTAAGCAACTTTGCTTTTAACAGCAATAATAAACACYGTTTCTCATTATTAACTTAGTGTCAAAACAGAATGAAATAATGTAGCATCAGAGTCTTACAAAACAATGTCATTGACATCTTATGACCTGATAACGGAGAGCACAGTTGTAACAAATGAGGCAAAGACTGAAGATGATGTAAGGTTAGCTAACCAATTTYGCATACGAAACTTTGATCGATGCTAACAAATAACAAMAAATTCCTTCTGCAAGGATGACTTACGAATCTCACTTCTTGATGGTTTTGATAGAACTGCTCAATTGTCGGTAACACTGTATTCAGCTTAAGAACCATGACAATATCAGCAACATAAATTATCAAAAAACTATTTCATGGACGATTTCATGCGACCGAACGTCTGAGAAGCCTTTAATGTCACGCTCAGCTGATTAGATGTTGTAAATCCCTGGGCTGTCATCAAGTTACTGAATCTCTCGGCGTCCTTCCAAAATCCACCGGCTACAAGAGCACTTATAATTTTCTCAAATTCCTCATGCCTCAATTGGTCCTTATTAGCCTCAAGAACCCCCAGAGCTTGAAGGGTCTTCTTCTCCTCTTGAGCTCTAGCRTACATATCACAAAGGCTTATATGAACATCAAGCGAAGGAGAAACACCCTTCTCAGTGAACTTCCCCAATAGGTCTTCAACTTCATCAATCAGTTGCAACTTACCCAGCCAATCCACAAGCACGGCGTAAGTGGCAACACTATGCTCAATGCCATCCTTTTCGAGCTGAAGCAGAAGATGCAAACCTTTATCTAATAAATTCTTRTTCGCATAAGCTGCAATCATTCTGGCAATGCACTTGTCATCRGGCTTGTATCCAAGTTTAATTATGTCGTCAAAATGCTTCCTTGCCTGATCAGGGTTGCCTTTTCGACTGTAAGCCTCAACAAGGCATGTACACGACTCCAGACTTGGCTGATACCCWGCAAACTCCATCTGAGTAGAAATCCTGCTCGCTCCAATAGGATCAGCATGCTCAGCATATGCCCTGAGCAAAGCCAAATATGTGTCTTCAGAAGGTTTAAAATTCTTTGCCTCCAGATCTCTCATCAAAGCCTCACCCGACTTCTGATCACCAGCATTAACATAAGCCATGATCATAGAGTTGTAAACTTTAAGGTCTGGTTGGAACCCTTGGCTTCTCAAGCTTTCAAAAGCATCCTTTGCAAGATTTAGGTTGCCTGCCTTGCTATACATATGAACCATAGTGGTTTTCGTCAGGATGTCAGGTATGATGCCCTTTTCATTCATCTTCTTCATAATTCTTTCAGCATCATCTAACTTGTTATGCTTGGCATGGACATCTACTAATTGTGAATAATCTCTTACATTACTTTGGAAGGATTCTTCGTCAAGTAGAAGTTCTGCAACCTATAAAATGGAATGTTAGTGACTGCAATTCCATGAGAAAATTTAGACCSGTCACCAACATAAAATAACCAACAACTAAAACTGTTGAGTATACTGCATTTTTGTTGATGGTGTATACAACAAAAAATGCACAGATTGTAGTAGTGTAATAATAGCAAATTACAATATATATATATATATAAGGACAACATCTGTTCAAGGCAAAAGAACGAATACACAAGCTAATGAATACAAAGTCTACATAGTACAAACATTACCAAATCTTAATCCACATCGAACATTCATAGACACCATAACCAGTGACCGGGTAATTGAGTTAGAGAAACAGAAACTAATACTCCTCCCCCTTGAAATTTACACTGCTGGACTCATTTACTCTAGAGAAATTGTTCGACCATTTGTCAAACATTTAGAGTACTCATCAATAAAGACACAAATGCACTATATAGGTATCTTTTAGATCCAAGCTAATAGCATTTATTTAATTGTAATGATGTTGGCAGGAAATTGGTAAATTTAAGAAAAACAACTTTATTGAAGAAAAAAGAAATTTTGCACCTTTCATCGCACATCCCAGAAAAGGATTGTGAATTTTCATGTAACATAAGGAGTGGCTTTTTAGAAGTTGTTCATGCTAATTGCTAAGATCATTTGATATTCAAAATTTTCATCATGTCTTGTATGGTGCAAGGAGAGGTAAAAATGTGATAGTGTATCCCATTTACTTGATGTGTGGAGAATTGAGATGGGAACCCAAAATGGAGAATTGGGACAAATGGTGTAAGCAAATACCAATAAAAATGAATATATCGATGACTGTTCATACAAAGAGCTGGTTAGGCCTTTGCAATTCACTTCCATACCACACCTTAAACAGAAATATGCTCTCTTCAAGTTATTACTTACAAAAAAAGAAGAAAAGCTGAATACCTTTAAGTACAATTGATCATTCTTTTCTTTCAATCTATCAAGCAATGCAATCCAGTCAACCTTGCTAGGTTGTAGCAGCTCTATCCAYTCTGCAATCAGTGGGGAAGGGTCATCATCCACTTGCAATGAAAGTATTTTCTCTGTAACACTCTTGCATTTCCCAGATATTGGCTTTGGCTCCTGAGGCCATATAGATCTTCCAGTCTCACCGAGTTGTTCAGCCAGTTCCGCCCATTTCTGTTTTGAAAGATCAAGGCCATAGATCTGGTATTTAATTTTTCCACTCCTTTTGGGTAAAGAAACTACCTGAGCATCATCTTCTTCCTCAACACAATTATTTTTTGAAGCTTCGCAAATTTCAGTTTCCACTTCACTCAGATTTGCTTCTGGTTCCTTGGCCTCTTGTCGCATAAGCTCCAATGACTCATAGAACTCACTGTCCTCCAATTTCTCGCGAGCCCATTTAAACCTAAGCTCTCTCAGCATGTCTCCTCGTATCCCTATTTCCCCAGCAAATCTGGTCATGTCTTTAACCTCCTCGGACTGAAGAAAACTCTTCATCTTTTCCTTCTTCTTCGCCTTCTTCATATCTTCTAAGACCACGTTGCTAACCTCCCACACTGTCTTCCACAAATCCTCACTGAAATCCTGTGATGCTGAGGCTGCTGCAGAGTCAATAAAATGCTCAATATTACCCTCCTCCATTTCCGATATAACCTTCCCAACAATAATTTGAAGCATAGCATCAACCTCTTTCTTATCAGCATTGGTATAAACCTCCGTGAGCTTTCCTCGCATAATCCAGACAAATCGAGATAAGAATTCATTCATTACCGCATCATCTTCCTCTGTGTCTACAGAAACATTCACTACGTCTTTGGCACCACTCAAAACAGTTTCTCGACCAGAGTGAATAAATCTATAAAATAATGAATGAGCCATCTGGGTTTTAGGCTTTCCAAATAGGGAGTAGGCTTTACGGGTCTCTTGGGGGTAAAGCAGAGGGGAAATGCAACGAACAGTACAAAACTCTCTGTAATTCCATGAAGGAGTTCTTCTACCGTTAAACCTTGAAACCTTGTTAATTGTCAATCTGGATAAAAAATGCTTCAGATTCATTTTTCTACACCCTTGATCTTGCTTATACAACGACAGACAAAGCGAAAAATCAAAATCAATCTGATTTATCCAGGAATATGCTCAATCATCTGAACTGAAACAATCAGAAATGCATCAAATGCCGTATGTCCAATACGCTCGAATAAACCCTAATGCTCCAATTTGCCATGAGAAAAAGTGCAAAATTATTAGAAAAAGCAATCAGAAAAACACATATATGGACCAAAAAAACATCATATTATACAACAAATTTTCATACGAATCTGCAAATCCTCACCTGAAAGCAATCAAGCAGAGAGACTCCGTTTTCGTCAAGTCCAGAGAACACTACACCACTGCACCATGGAGCAAGAAGGCTTTTACTAGGGTTTTTCTTTTCGGCCATCTTATGGCAAATGTACCTCTTCAGTCCCTAAGATTTACACGGGTGATAGAAAAACACCCTTTATTTTAGTTTTTTTATTTTAACCGTCGGAAACCACTAGTGGCGTTTTCGACTAGGGATGGTGATTTGCCCCGACCCGATGGAGAACCCGGTTTACCCGACCCGAACGGGGATAAGGATTCCGCGCTAAAACGAATCCCAAGGCCGAGGCCGGGAATCCTCGGTAGACACAAACCGGGGACGGGGAATGTTACTCAAACCGGGGCCGGGGATCCCCGGTAGAATCAAAATAAAGGATACTATTTACGGGTTTGACTGGGAATTGATCTGGGTTTTACCGGGTTTTGACCGAGGATTGCTAGAGATTTGACCGGGGATGAGATAATAATCCCCGTACCCGCCGAGGACCGGGGCCTGGGGACGTTACTACAAACCGGGGCCAGGGCCGGGGATTACAAAACCTGCCCCATCCCGCCCCCGTTGCCATACCTATTTTCAACTCCCTTACGGAAAAAAAAAATTTGTTATATTTTATCTCTAAAAAATCGAATAGATAAAACATAAAAARTTGGATAAAATAAAACAAATCAAGATTTATCCAAATCATATTTAAATATTTGTAATTCTCTAAATCATTTTATTAAAAGAAATAGATTATTATTTTAACAATATAATTTTTATATTTAATATATTAATTTTTCAAAAAAAATGTTGATGAATTAATTCATCATGATTCTTATTAGAAAAGTAACCACTGTAATTTCTTACACCTAGGAGTGTAAATGATACAAGACAACTCACGAACGACTCGGTCAAATCTCGGTCAACACTCGATTCAAATAGGCTTAACTCGAATTCGAGCTCGACTCGACATATTAGCGAGTCGAGTCAAGCTATTCAATATTCGACTCAAAGAGCTCGTGAGATAATTAATTATTTTATATATAATTAGTTTTAAAATATAATCAGTTTTTATGATAAAATTTCTAAAATATAAATAATAACAATGTCTTATATTTTTAGTTATTTAAACAAAATTATGYATCTTTTAATTGTAAAAATTAATTATTTATCTTTTATTAAAATCACAATTAAAAAAAAAGACAAAGAAAAACTACAAAAAAAGTTAATGGAATTGTCTCACGTTAGAAGAAAGATGGTAAAGAAAATGGAGAAAAAATGTTATAAAAAAAGAGGGGGTGAATGAAATTTCTAACTTTATCTTTTTGATGATAAAGTTTGAAGTTGATCCTTTTAGTTTTATAAAAACTAAGAGAACATATTTAAGTTTTAAAAATTTATAAGAGAAAGACTTTAAAATTTCATAAATTTCAATGGGTGAGCTTGGTTCGAACTTGATTTGAGTTGCAGTTCGAGCTCGAGTTTGAGCTTATTCGAGCTTGATTAGAATTTGAGTTCGAGCTTGAAAATTGAGTTTTGAGTTTCAGTCAAGTATATAGTGATACTTGAGCTCGACTCGCATCATTTACACCCCTATTTACACCACACTCTAGTTTTGACGTGTGATAATTCATTTACATGTGGTCAGAACTGTTTCGGTAAATACGTTTAACAGAAGTGGAAAATGGTTAAAACAAGAATCAAACGATGCATCAAAATAAATAGTATGCTAACCGGTGGAATTAAGTAGGTATTAGAATGGATTGTAAATTAAATTTTTAATATTAATTTATATTATTTTTGTCCAACTTTAATAAAATAATCTTAAATCATTAATGGCAGTCAGGTTCTTTTTTCTATCATTCTTTTTATCTAAAATGAAATAGTTAATTTGATTAAAATTAAATGAGCAAATTCCATGATAAATATCTTTATTATAACATTATATTTTTACTTTTTTTTTAATATAACAATGTATTTTTAAGTTATTTTTTATTAAGACGTTGTATTTTAATAAATTTATTCATCATAGTATTGGGTAATCTTTAGATTTAAGTTACTCATTATACCAAGTTTTTATGTCACCTCATTATCTACATGTACCATATTAATGACTTGACATTTCTTATTACAACATTGTAGTTTTAAAATTATTTTATTAGAAAACACATGCATCGGTGTTTCCTTTCGTTAATAAAAGAGAAAGAGAAAACAATTATTTGTTATATACTTGGGAGTAAATTACACTTTTTTGTCTCTATGCTTGTATAAAAATTATGAATTAGATCCTTCAAATAAACTAATTATGTGTTATTATTGTGGTTTCATTTTTGTTACGAATAACGTCACTTAACTTTAACATCCTTAACATAGGCTCCTTATAATTAGGGGTAATATAGTCTTTTCAAAAAAATTCACTTACTTTTTTGCAAAATAAAAATAATATAATTTGTATTTTTTTATGTATTAATATATATATATATATATAGAGAGAGAGAGAGAGAGTTTGTTTCAAATGCAACTCATTGCATTTGTACAACCAATGCAACCTAATAAATTGAAATAGTTATGGAAATAATGAGAGTTCATTTATTATGATTTAAATATTTATAGAAGCTGCATATGGTTCATTAATTATGATCAATACTTTATATTAGAAAACAATTAAAACTTCTATGAAATACATATTAATCAAATTAAATGAACGGTTGAGATTGAGTTGTATTGGTTATACAAATGTAAAAGGTTGCATAATAAACCATCTATCTCTCTCTCTCTCATATATATATATATATATATATATATATAATACATTTTACATGCAACCCTCTCTATTGTTACAACCAATATAATCAAATCTGATCATCCATTATTTTGATTTGTTCCTTTTCTTTTTAACTGGAAAGGGTACTTTAAGTCTTTGACAAATATAGGATAATTACTTTTTCAATGACATAATATTTTCAATGTTTTTATCCATAATTCTATTTCCTTTTTTTTCTAATTTCTAATTGATTTGAGAAGGATTGTTATCTTCTTCTTCAGAGTTCACGTTGAACCATCTCCATCTTCCCATCCTTTAATGTAGAAGAAAATGATCAAAGATGAACATAAAATTTCTTTACCCAAAAATCATTTAAGCTCATAAAAGTTCAAATTTATTGTAGTTTCACAAAGTAATATAGCATTACACATGAATCGTAAGCAAGTATATGATGAAAACAAAGAAGAAGATGAACTTGAAGAGTCGATCCATTGGACTTGTGGGACTTAACAAGATGATCATATTGTTGCTTAATCTTCCTCCGTGTGGTGCTAGAAGAAGAAGTAAAAGGATATAAACACACTAAATCTTGATGTTCTTTCTCCTTTTCTATTCCCGCAAGTAGTTCATCCTTAACTACCATTTGAGCTTTCGAGGAATCATTGCCATCTGATCGTTTTTCCTCCCTCTTTCCTTCTTCTTCTTCTTCTTCTTCTTCTTCACACACTTCTCATCCCCAACTATCGTAGACTCGCTGTTATTCGCCGCCTGATAATCCTCGAAAAGATCCAGCAAGATCTCAAGAAGCAAGGAATTATTTACGTTCAAATTGTGGGATTTTAGGTTTTGAATGTTGGTATTGCAATCATCACTATTGATAATACAAAATAATGATGCAACTACATTCAGCAATGGAAACAAATAATGCAACCAGCTTCAGTAAATAATATCAAATGAAGATACCATATTCTTTTTGTTTAACCAAATGATGTAACTACTTTCAGTAATGGAATTCAAATGATGTAACCATATTCTTTTGGTTTTCAATCACATTCAGTATTGACATAAACAATTGACTAACATGTTCATGAAACAAGTTCTATAATTTGTAGGAACTAGTCAAAGGCACTAGTATGAAGCACTATTGAGCTTTGGCATGAAATGAGATTCAAGTGATTGTACCAATGATGCAACCATATTCATGTATGGACAGGTTCACAAACAAAACAATTTGCAGCAACTATGAAGGAGGGTCTCAAATAACTTAGAAGTTCAATCATATTCATGTGTTCACCAATTCAATGATGCAAACATTCATATCTGATGTTTTACCAATTATTCGTTTATATTCAATTTTCAACAGGTTCATAAAAAATATTTCATAGAAAAGGTCAATTCATGAATTGCACTCCGTAATATTAATTTTTTTTTTTATCAATTTTGAACTCATATCCTTGTCATAAAACAAATTAAACTTCATTGAGTAATTTAATCAAACAGTTGGTATGCATTAGTTAATCAAAAATAATATTGATCGTAATCTTCATTGAAACTTAAAATTATCCAATGATGAAAATGAATTCACCTAATGTGAACGTAGTCAATTAGGAATCTTTGTTAAAATACTTAATATGTAGTTTCTAATCTTTTTTACCATCGTCCGCTTCTGTTTGTGTTTGTCTTAGACGTCCACTGTCTGATTTGAAATCAAGAACCCTAATGTTAGTAATTTTGAATGAAATCGTATCATAGATTATCGATTCTCTATTTACATTTTTTTGAATAAATTTTGATTTCCTTCCGCTGTATGTATGGATTAACTCCTTTGAATGTTCGGTGAGCAGTATGCGATTTCTAGGAGGGAGTGTAGATAAGGAACTGATTTTTCGTTTATTATCTCCAAACAACCATTATTGATGATATTTATTCCTAAATTACCCCTAAATGCCATTAATTTTTTAAAAATAAATTGTCAAAATATTTATTACTTACCCATTTGCCGCTCATCAAATTTTGTCTATAGATGAAACCATGGACGGTCCAGATCTGGTTGCAGCGGTTGTAACAATTAAGAAATTTTAATTGATTTGATTTTTTTAGGAAAAGGGTAGTTTTAGAATAGATTTTTTAGTTATTTTAAATTTAAATAATTAAATTTTTATTTTTATTGTTATTATCTCCAAAATTTTCTCCCATGTCATCTCAATCTCTTTTTCTCTCACTCTCGCTCTCTCTCCCAACCGATTGAATCCCTAATGGTGGAGCTAAGGGCAAACGGTGAACAAAAGGAGATT